TCGCGACGTGAGAGAGAGAATCGCGTCGATCCGGCGCATTACGAGCGTTTCCGCTTGTAGAGAAGGTCGAAAAGGAAAGGGCGAGCGAGCGAGCATAGAGCGATTTTTCGCCCGTAATCCACAGACGATGCATAAGGATGTCTGTCACGGGCAAAGGAAACATTCCATTAAGGAAATGAGCCGAGCGTCATGTTGAATTACATTTGTTTCGTGCCGCGGAACGACGACGCTTTCTTCTCTCCTCCTCCTCCTCCTCCTCCTCCTCCCCTTCTCATCTTCGCACTTTATCTTACCCTCCGCGAGCGCGACCACAATTTGGCATGAAACCGCAATTTTAATTAATATTTCCTTCAAATGGGAATTTTCGCATGACCAAAGAAGGAGTCTCATATATCACGAGAGTAAAGAATAGCGATTCCCCATTTTAATATTCATAATTAGCTAATTGCGACAAATGACGTAATTCTATATATATATACTTGATTTGAGTATATGTACGAAATATTTACGGGAAAATTTGATCCCATCATGCGAATAATTAGGATAATGCGTTAGTATTTTTTTTTTTTTTTAATATTTGAAATATTTCTCAATAAACAATTAGTTTCCATTATCTTTTGAAATCGATAAAGTTTCGAAAGATATAAATCAAAAAACAGGAAAAGCGAATGACCTCTGCCCGCAGGTAATCCAGAATCAAAAGGTAGAGTATCCCTTAGCGAGAAGGTTTAGGATACTCGGTCGATGCGACCCGCTTTTGCAATTTAAAAATCTGTCGGGCCGCTGTCCGTCACCGACTATGTTAAGCATACCGGATAAGTATACGGTCTCGTAATCTCGAGGTGGTAACGCGCTGCATCCCTGATGTGGATATACGTGGAGCGAACGGATTAATTATTCAAACGTATACCAAGACAAGAAACTCCCCGGCGCGAGATCGACGGTGACGATAAAATCGCCTCGTAAATTCACGAAATGACGCGTTTTCCCTTTTATCAAGATGCTCGTCTCTTTCTTTCTTTTTTTTTTCTTTCTCTCTCCCGTGGCCGAAAAATTCTAACACTCGTGCTTCGCGCCGCCGCAGCGTAATATTATTCGGTGAGACGACGGTAATGAGATCGGTTTCGTTCGTTCGTTCGCTCGCTCGCAGAACCCGTATCAGGCGGAATCGAAAGCTGCAAGACAGCTAACGCGTGTCATATGCTGCGTGGCAATAATCAAAATATTTGAACAATGCGTAAAGCTCGAAAGTGCTTAATTGTCATTTCTCGCGCCGAAGAACATGGGGCGAGATCATCTTTCAATATATTACTTGGAACATGCTTACCGCCTTGTCGCTTTCATTCGAATAACTTTCCTTTAATAATCTTTGCGAGATGTCTTTAAGGGCATATATATAAAACAGCCACACAATTCAAGCTCCAAGGATGATACTCCGATGTAAGAACGCCTCCGTCAAATTGATTACCTTTAACATTTAAACAAAAAATTAATTATTTATTCATATATCGTGCTATAATATAAAAATTATGATGCTTATTTATCTTATATATACACAGAATGCTGTTAGCAGTTAAATAATAATGCACTGTTTTTTACTAAAGATGTACAAAAAACTAGAAATATTTCTTAATTACGAATTCGTAAATTAATAGCAATAAACAATTATATAATTACGTATAATACCTTATACGTGTCATTATGTGATGTAAAACGTTCAAGTTAACGCAAAATTTTCCAAGATAATCACATAAAATTCATAAGTTATATCTCGTGGGTTAGTGTTTTTTTTTTTTTTTTAATATTTGAAATACGATTCGGAGATTTAATGACTTATTTATATATTATATTTATATATTCAAAGAGAAACAAGTTGGTGCAGAGTAATATTATGAAACATAATAGATAAAAGCTGATAAAAAAGCTTAAAAAAAAAGAATTAAAAAACAAGAAAAATTTGTGTTACAAAAAAAAAATATTCTGATTTCTGTTCCATTACGTTTTATGTATATAAATCAAACTCTTGCAGTTACGAAATTTGAGATCGACATGAGATGAAAAGCATCGAGACTGATGCGATAGCGCTATTGAAGCACTATTGCGAATCTATATAGATGCTGCGAACACGATAGGAGGACATAAGGCGCGCCCGCTTCACTTAATACAGCTGCTGTCATTATCGCGAACCAAATGCTCATTATATCATAATAAACGCCCGATACACCGTGTCTGTATGCGTTCACGCGGAAGCAGGTCGCGAACTAATGCGACCCATTCAACGTAATTACGCTACCCGTTACATGTCACTCACATCAAGATCACGTGCAACAAACTTGAGTTCAAGTAATCGCGGAAGGTGGAATCCGACGTGTTATCAGATACGTCGATAATATCGCGGGAATTCAGACATCTGGGTCAGAATAAACAAAAAAGATTAAATTTTTAGTTAGTTTTTTTTTTTCAGAAGATATACATTATGCAAAATAATTTACAAGTTACTCTATGGCGATATAATTAAAGTAAATATGCATAAAAGGTCTTACCTCGCCGATTTAATCGCCATTTAGATATGTTGTAGGGGAGAGTGTTGTTATAATTAATATATAAAATAGAGAAATAGAAAAAAAATCAAAATTTTAATCTTTTATATCTATTATACTTGAAATTAAAATGAAACAATAAAGGCTCTTACGAATGTATTATACAAAGGTGAGGGAAGGTAATTACCAGCATGGTAATTTGTGCGCAAATTTTATTGTAATCAAATTATATTAACATAAAGTAGCGATAGACTTAGTGTGAGCCACACATGTTATGAGAAGATAAATGTTATAACGAATCTTTGAGACAGACTGTCCAATAAAATATACTATATTAAAAAAGCAATTGATAATACGAATAGATCGAACAAGAATGAGTCACACATGTACAGAAGATAAATATTATATACAACGAACGTTCGAGACAGAATGTCAAGTCTCTCCATCGCACGATACACAAAGTAAATGAATACAGAGGGGTGTTTACAAATAAGACGGCATGAAATTCAAAGTTTTGATAATTTATCGATTACATTTATATAAGTATGATATAAACATTCTTTGTCTGTTCGTCTGTAAATTAATTTTTTTTGTCTTTTAATATACCCCTCTATTATACTTGTTTATGACATGATCGGATCTGAGATCGAACACTAGTTTTATTTTTATTACGATTCAAGCTTAAGATAACATATCAAATAATATTCTGTGATGACCGCTATGCTCCATTTATAGGATTCATTGTGCATCGATACCATATGTTATATATTTCGGTCAAATATTTGACGAATAAATTCATTGTATGTGTGTGTATGTGTGTGTGCCTAGAATCGGCTTTAATTCTTGCGTTCGGGATTATTTTCATGCCTATTGCACGATTGTCCGGTATTATCTCACGCAGGTATTACATGTGGAAATTTGAAAACATTTTAATAAAATCTAACGAAAGAGTTTTTCACGGTGTATCGAATCGCAAACGATTTACACATATTGCGAAATCAAATTGAGAATCGATACCGTTTTATGAAAAATCTAAAAAATAAAAATTAATATTTTATTTTTTTGTATGTACATTTTAAAAGAGAGATACAGATTAATATTATACACACGCTTTTTATATAAAATTTTTACAAAAATCTAATGTTGTTGCAACGAAAAGAAATGAAGCGTACACAAAATAATGTAAGCAAACTCTCAATTTTCGTTCTCAATATTTTATCAGCGTTGATTGCACTTTGAAGGGACGAGCGGAATGTTTGCTATAACGAGACGTTTCGTTACGCGAAATATCTTCCCTCTCCTTTAGAATCATTCATATTCATGAAAGTCATTAAACACGACTCCCGAAGGTAACCGAGAGAGACGGGTAGGTATGAGAGTCCGCGCGGCGTACTTTTCTCGCTGAGATTAGATCAACGGAACAAATATTTGAGGGCTCTCGTTGCGGCGTCTGTCTTTGCGTGATCATCCCCCGACTTTGATATCCACTCCGCTCGGAAACTCGTTCGCCGGTAGAGACGGCGAAACTTTGCCGTCTAAGTTTTGCAAGCCTTTACATCGATTTGAGGGGAGTGGCTCGACTCGAGAGAGGGGCCGAGAATAAATCCTTACCGTGTTTGTGAGTGCTTCATGACTCGGGAGTGTAACTCTCTGTCTGCCTAGTTCTTGTCTCTCGCTTAAATAATCGTTTTGCGAACACGGTAACTAAGATGGTAACAAAGTATATGGATTATATAGAATGTTTATATATAAACTGTTTTACGCATATTAAATATAAAATTTTATATATTAGAAAAATAATACGTCACTCTCTTCATTCAACGTCAAATATTGAATTTCAAAGCTTAGCGACCGATTAATGAGAGCTAACAGGCATTTAGAAATCCGCGGTGAGCACATTGTCAGGCGTCGTGACCTGATTAATGCAATCTGCCAGACGATCCGGCTTACGCGCACCTCGTGGCGTTGTCATAATATGTAAGCTCGCACCAGAATTGCCGCCCTCGAGACTCTATCGCTGTTTGACAGTACACATGTCGACACTGTCAGATCTCTGTCGAATTACAATTTAATTTTAAGTTTTGACATATTGAGATATATCTCTTAAATATGGAGAAATCGAGCGCGTCAAACGTGACAGTACGATTCTATTGTGATTTTGATATTGAAAGTTCGGGAGACGATCGATGAATAAAGTCGTCGCTATTAGTCGAAAGAGAGTCAGGCCGATTAAAGCCGCATAAATTTCACGTGTAACGTAACTGATTAAGCCACCGAATAGAGGATCGGCCAAAGCTTAATTCAACAGACCAGACCACTGCGAATTCGCTAAAGTCATACAATGGCTCGAACAATTACGCCGAAAATTACGCTGTATTTGCGCGCGACCGCTCGAACAATCCATTGCACTGTCAGTTAATTCCTTGGGCTAATTCAATCGATGTTGACTTGCTGTTTCAGTTGGACAGGTTCAAAGAGCCGCCGGCGTTCGGGCCCATGTGCGATCTTCTCTGGTCCGATCCGCTCGAGGACTTTGGCAACGAGAAGAACGCGGAGCATTTCTCCCACAATAGCGTCAGGGGTTGTTCATACTTTTACAGGTGAGTGATGTAGCCGCCAAGTTTTCCTTCAATATGTTTCCTTCGTAATACAAACTCTGGTGTAGGATCGTTTTTCCGATGAACAGTGTTTAAGTTTTTTTAAAATTTGTTAATGTATTTAGTAAAATTAATCAAAGAATATTTTTTTATTTTATTGTCTATTTCTTTCTTTTAGTATTTTTAAAATTATCTTTATCTTTTATAATTCAACTATGAATATCCCAAGACATATCTGTAAAAGGCAAAATCGATGCAAAATTGAGCGAAAGAAATTCAAAAAGAAATTATCTGCATAAATTTTTTTCTCAAAAGCTTTTTTATTTATCAATCATACAAAAAATATACATGTAGCAAAATATACAAAATTATGTGAATTATAATATTTGTTTTAAAAATCAAACACTTTCTGACAGAAAATATTAGAAAGCGATTGCAATCTAAAAAATTCATTTACGATACTTTTCATCAGTGGCATTTATATATGTATAGTTATCGATAAAGACACATCGATAACAGTGTCGGTTTATCACGTAGCGTTAATGTAACAATAAAGGCCGTATTAGTGGAGAGAGAAAAAGAGAAAAACGAAATCTCTCGCTACTCAAGCGCGATAGCCAGATTTTCTTTTGCTTCTCGCCCTGGAAATACGATATGCTTACGCGATATATCTCGCGGTTGTCGTCGGCCTCGATTTTTTCGTTTTTCCCTTCCAGCTGTCCGTTACTCTCTTTCTCTTTTTCTCCTCCAACGAGGTAATTATCTCGCCATTTGTCTCGAGCGAACAGCGGCAACCGGAAGCACGTTGGGCACAGCCCACACGTGATCACATAGCGTGAAACGAGGTAACTTTGGCTTTCTCTCTCTCTTTCTCTTTCGAGTTCTGAGATCTTCCTACATACGTCACGCCCGCTCCCTCGCCGGATCGCCCTACGTCAGTGTCCGTGGACACGTCCGCGGTTTGTCCTGCGCGAGGATTAATAACGGTCGCGTAATACGACAGCGTCAGCAAACCACAGACACACTACAGCTTCTCTCGCGGATCCGCTAATTGTACGAACTTGCCGTGCTAATGAGCACTGAGATTCGTTAAGTGTCAACCGTCTCGCCTGCTCGTCCGTAACGTTTCCTACCTGCTTATGTATACTATATACTGTCCGTGAGGCAGAGTAATAAATTGAATTTCAGTATTTTAATCCTTCGAGGCACGACTTTCCCGACAATGGAGATCGACATTAAATGTTTTTATGATACTATTAATATTATTTTTATTTTTATATTATTTGTCGCAATTAATGTTACGCGAAGGATTACACTATACTTGGATATTTATTCAGCAGATATGGCATTGTAGGAGTTTTAAAAGAAAAGTAATTTTAATAATCAAGAGAGGAGCTGTTGATTAATATACACGTCGGCGCAGATGATCGCGATTCCGATAAGATAATAACGGCCGTTATGAAGATGTTGTAGGTAAGGCATGTTACCTTGCCTTTACCTACGCGGGTCGGTTAATTTCTCATTTTCGATTCTCGCATTATCGTGTTTCGGCCAAGGATAGGTACGTGCATTAAGTTTCACGCGAACATAAATCACACCCCGTGTCTCGAGCAGTATGCAAGTAGTCTAGCCGTAATCACCCGCCGGTCGTCCGATTATATCCTGACTCGCGCTACTTGCGTCCGAACTTGTATCCATCGACTCGTGAAGGAGTTCGTTCCCTAACGATCCATAGTGATTTTTTTTTTTTTTTTATGAATCGAACCAAACACATTTTGCGCGCCGCAATAACGTCTCCCCGCGTTAAATAAATTATATTTTATCGTCGTGCACACCGAAACGTGCGTGGGTATCGAAGTCGGGATTCGTCGACCCGGGGATCGATACTGGCCGTGTGCGGTTTTCGAGAGATTTCATCTTGTCATTAATCTTTGTCGGTGCTGCGAACGGGTCTTAATGGCTACTAACGATCCTGCCGTGACGCAGGGCAAACATTTCTCACGATGCTTGGCCAGGTCAGTTGTGGCGGTGCGAAAAGGGTCGTCCTGTTGACGTCTTCTAGATTTCAATTTGTTTATGTGAATACGTATGATCATGTGATCCGTCATCCAATGTTCGGTTGACAGCGACGGGGATCAAAAGCTGCTCACCCTATGAAAGACTCGAACACTTATATTAATAACAAACTTATATTAATGGCAAATTTAGCAATTTGAAGGCGAAACTTAAATGTTTTCGGAAAATAAATTAATAATAAAATCTAAATCTTTAGTATTACATTAACGAAGTGTTGCATTAGTTGTTGTATATTCTCGGCGAGCTAAGATTGATTATTTGGCAGTCGAGTAATTGTTTTTGATGTAAGTGCCAAGAGAGCATTACGACATAATTTAGGTCACGATTTTATGGTACACGATTTCCTGAAATAAATATTCATTCATTTTCATAATCTGTCTCGTGCGAATGTTTACGAAACATATTTATTTTATATGAATTTTGTTGTATAATTAATTTGTCTAAAAAGAATGGTATTCTACTTGATTAAATTTTTTTAAGCCAGGTCTTTACACATTATATAGCATTTTTTATATTATTTATTAAAATACAAAATACATGCTATATAGATACATTAACACAGCCAAATTATTATGTGTCGTATATATAATATATATCGTATATATAATACTCGAAAAATTTTGTTTAATTATTGACAATCAAGCTTCCCAATTTTAAACGGTCAATCGATAATATCTGCTTGCAGTTACGCGGCGTGTTGCGACTTTCTGCAGAACAACAATTTGCTCAGCATCATAAGGGCGCACGAGGCTCAAGACGCCGGATATCGTATGTACCGAAAATCTCAGACGACGGGCTTCCCATCGCTCATCACCATCTTCAGCGCGCCCAACTATCTCGATGTGTACAACAACAAGGTAAAAGTCGGTTTTGCGTCTGCGTGAAACTGCACCGCTGTCGCGATCGATATTAATTTAACGGTCGCATAAATGCGGAGCATTGTCCGTTTATGTGACCAATGGGTGGGGACGACATTGGTCCGCAATCGTAAAAATTCGATGCTTGTTATGCCCGCAGGCGGCGGTGTTAAAGTACGAGAACAACGTGATGAATATTAGGCAATTCAATTGTTCGCCACACCCGTACTGGCTACCCAATTTCATGGATGTTTTCACATGGTCCTTGCCGTTTGTCGGCGAGAAAGGTAAGTTGTGCTAGTCGTAATCTATGTAATCTCTGTGCTTCTTTTCAAAAAGATTTATATATTCCCGAATAGAATCTATATCTTTTTTTTCCGTAATGCGATCAGAGGATATCGTAAAAATAAGTTGTGTATAAGAAAAATTATTATTAATAATTTAGACGCTGGAGATAAAATTAATTTTGATATATTTCGAGATATAAATGGAGTATTGGCTATATAATAAAAAATTGTGTTTATTGAGAAATACTTTGTTCAGAATTTAACAGGCGATTTTTCGCTTTGTCCTTGCAGTCACAGAAATGTTAGTGAACGTGCTGAACATCTGCTCGGACGACGAGCTGATGAGCGACGGCGATGATGCGCTCGAGGAAGGTAATGTCCATTATCTAGCCCTCATTCTCTCCATTTTAATCCGTATACACTATTATTTTGCAGATATTACGAGTAAAATCGGCACTCGGACTGGTCGCTCTTATATCGTGATCAGAGACTTGTCTTTTTGTACCCTGTTATTTCGATGCTACCCTTAACGTGTCTGGTTCTGAGAGATTTATTTGTCTAATAAAAATCCTGTAGAAAGACATGAAGTGAGAATCACACAATCGCGTAATCACACAATGGCGCGTTAAATGCGCGAAAAAAAAAAAAAAAAAGAAATACTTTACGATCTCATCTCGGCCGTCTTGAGGAAATTAGAGACACATTCTATTTCAAGTCTCGCGATTACGCAATTAGAAGAAAACAATCGTGGAAAAGGAAAATAATTATTGCCGTAGCGTTCAATCTAAAAGACTCCTCGATTAAATCTCAACTTGGGTAAATTTATTTTGCTCGGGATGCGCTCTCTAATAACGGTGAGAGACGCGAGACACATTTCAATCTTATCCGTCACATCGAGGACGAGTCCGGGACGGGCGAACGCGATAAGACGGGCCGAGATTCCGCTAATATCTGGAATCTTTTACGAGCTCCGACACGATCTAAGAGAGGCCACGTCACTTTCGTGCACCCGGGGAGAATGCGCGGATTCATCCTTCATGTCCCGCCGCGAGCCGATAGAAAAGACTCGGAGACGGTCTAACGATGAAAAATGAATCATGACATCCTGTTCCGCGTGAATCGTCGCATTCTCCTCTCTGAAAGGAAAGAAAGATCGATCGTGCACGCGCGTCCGGATTGGTGGATACCGGCGAATTTTGCGAAAAACCGCGCCCGCGCGGCTGTCATTTCCTACGCGGCTGTCATTTCCTACGCGTCGATATAAATTGTGCAGGAATCCAGAATGAACGCCTTTAATTTTTTTCATTTAATCATTTGATACGACCTCGTTTTTGAGGGAGCGACACGAGACTCCACATGCGAATTTTACATTCGCCGCGCGCAGAATCTCGCGCGCACGATCGATCTGCCGCCCGGTCAATCTCTATTTCGCAATCGATCTCGATGCGACAGCACCTGCGTATTCTACGTACATTCTACACTGAGTATTTTCGTACATCCCTACGATTTACACACGATTCTGCTAATGCTCGCGCACCTTTTTTAAAAATTTCACCTCTTTGAGCGGAAATTGAAAAGAAAAAAAATTGGCGTCCCGAGAGACGCACGATTTCCCAAATATATACATACATCGCGCCGAAGAAGAGTAGTCGATCTGTTAAGATATCTCTATCATTTCCCCCCCACCACGATCTCACTTCTTAGAACTTCCAGATACAAATCTTGAATTCTTTTTCTGTTTGCATTTTCACTCGCTGCACGGACAGATGGTAAGAAACGCCGCTCGATTCTTTTAGACGTCACACGATTAAGAGCTTCATTGATATCATTAATTTTTAGCTATTTCATAGTAGTTTCTCTCGATGTCGAATTTCTCGTCTATCTATCTCTTTCTGTTTCTCTGTTTTTCTCTTTTGTTCTTTATTTTGATCTTTCTCTTTGGCCGCGACGTCATACTTTCTTCTCAGAAGAAAAACCATTCCCGTCTGTTTTTGTCTTTTTTTCTTCTTTTTATTTCGTTTCTTTATGATCTCTACATATATATATGTATGTGTGAATATATACATATATATACACACAGTATATATACTATAATTATATATATATATATATATATATATGCTTTTTTTTATCTTCAACCATCTGTTTCATGATATTTACGATTTCTCGAGGTACGAGGTTCTTTCTCTTTCTCTCTCTCGTTTTTTCTCTTACATCTCTTTCTCTCTTTCTCTCTCCGTATCTCTTCTTCTCTTTTTGGCATTTTTATTTTTACTTCCCGATTATACGTATATATATGTGTGTAATACATATTCGACGTGTCTCGACGGCACATAGCCTGAATTTTTACATCTTCACCCACGGTAGCCTTTGATTTTCTGCATCCGTTACATAGCATCTTCATCCTCTTTCCATAAGTTTGGTTCAAGATGGCATTTGAAATGGCACGATCCCTTGCTTGTTTCTTAAAGCACGTATGACTATTTTTCAAGCTTTAAGAAAGTTTGAATATACTTTTCAAATCGGTATAATATCCGAAACTAAATCGTGAGAAGATATCTCATTTGCCATCTTGCGCATTACGCATTTTTAATTCACGCATGCATCGCAGCGGGTAAAATTAGGTCAGATCGTTATTCAGTCCCGTCTTAATTATTTCTCGATGTCACTCTCGAGAGAATATATCTAGATCGATTTCATTCATTACCTCATTTGCTCCGAGATCGACTTTACCACTGTCCGAATTCTATTGTCAGTTTCAATTTCTCTCACATGTCACATCCCGCCCCTACTGGCCTATTTTCTTACTTTCATTTTTGTACATGTCACATGTGTATGTATAATTCTCTCCCTTTCTACGGAAAGCCATAAAAAGATCAAGACCAATCCCAGGAACTGATGGATGGAGCTTTGCAACTTTTGTGATGATGGCGAAATTTTTATTTTCTCGTTGCGACCTATGTTTTGAATAAATCAAACGCATTGGCACATGCACTCGAAATTTACGATTTATTTTTTAAAATATCGAAAATGCGTCGGGATGTTAAATTAATAGGCATCGCCGATTAATTTTATAATTGCCGCGTATATTCCGAAAAAGAGACGCAAACTAATTCGTTCGCGCAGTTTGTGGCACGTCGAAAGGTCGGATCGATACACCTTTGTGTCAATCGAACGGACGACCGCGGATTGTAACAGCATCCATCCATCGGATCGGGTCCAATCACCGAAAGAAAGTCAAGCAGCCCCTCTTTCCCCCCTTTTCGCACCACACCGAAAAGAATTCGTTCGAGAATATCTCTCTCATTGCGGCTAGGTCGCTTTGATTGGGGGAAAAAAATAAAAAAAAAAAAAAAAAGATTTCAAGCAGAGAATCGTCCCGGTATTTCGATCAATAAGATACTCTCGGTTCCTTGGTCCCCTTTTTCCTCTCCCTCACCACCCTGGTTTCGCCTTCTTTAATTATTGCGAGACATATACGCGCCGCCCACACAGGCCCTCGCCCTCTGCCCCCATCAACCCTCTTGCCCCCCCTCCCCTTGCCCCAACCCCCAAAGTTGCACTGACTGTCTTTTATCGTACTCCTTCTCTATTATATTTGTATCAATCACACTGGCCTTGGACTCCTCCTATCTCGGCACGACACTATGCTACTACTACCTCTACTACTTCTACTACTACTTCTACTACTACCACTCAAAACTCCGATCGTTCGGCAACCCCCGTAAAGTCGCAGCCAAAGTCGTTGTCCAAAAAAAGAATGGTAAGTCCCCGTGAGAGCCGACGACTTACTTGAAGAGCCAAGATTTTTTTCTTCTTTTCGTGCGTGCCAAGAGTAACCCAAACGAGAGATGTTTTTTTTCTTTTTTTTTTTTTTTTATTCTTTTATTGCGATATATTTGTGATATAATATATCTCTTAACTCTCTTCGTAATGTTTTTTTTTTCTACGCCAGTGTTCTCTCTTGCGTTTCGGTTTCGTTTTTGTTTTTGTCTCTTTCTGTTTTTGTCATCGCGCGGATGCGCTTCGTGACATGTTGTTCTGCTGGGGACGCGAGTATATTCTTATTCCATAAACATGGTTTTTATATACACGTGCAATTTTTTTTTTTTTTTTAACGACGTAGAGGAACGTAGAAAAATGTTGCAATTTCTTAATGCACAATTTTGTTATAATGGCGTAATAATAACGTAAAGGAGTGCCGTGTAATTTCTCGCTGTATAATTTTTTTCGTTGGCATAATAATGATAATTAATATTGCGCAATCAATTTTGATATTTCTTATCCTTTAACGTGCATTAAGCTTTACTCTATGGAATTGATATATGTAATATGATTGATATTGTTATAAATATAAGAAGTAATATTGTCATCTAATGGCACAATCATTTCGATCACTCGTTTCAAAAAACTCTATTATAACTTTTTTTTTTCTTTTATTAGAAACGTATGGGGGAAATGCTTTTAGTTCGACTAGATATTCCCCAATGGGGGCTGAAATTCGAAGCTCACGCGTGCGCGAATGATATTACCAGTAGAACAACGTCGACACGAATGTTCCACGCGAGATATTATTTTCTCGTTTGTTGAGTTGATTTCTCTCTTCGTTCTTGTATATATACATATATATATATTGTATATCTCTATCTGTATCTATATACTTACATATTTCTATCTTCGTCATCATCTTCTATTTCCTTTAAACGTGCTCTGTATAACCGTTCTCGGACTTTGGATTGAGCTAACATTACAATCGTCTATTAATTGTCAGAGAACGCGCCGTTCTCACTTGCCTTCCATTTCCTTCTCCGTTTTACACTGATTTCTATTGTGTTACATATCGCCGCCTTCGTATCACACACCACATCCCTGTTGTCTACTTACACGCTGAATTAATCATCACCGTTGATCTCACCCTCCTTTCTCTTTTTATTTTTTATTTTTATCTACATTTTGTTATCTCGTTATAAATGCCTTCCTTGCCTGCTTCATGCGCTTCTCGTCGACGATGGAACAAATGCGTTCAACGGTATAGCAGGTATATAAATTATGCGACGAATCTGTCCTCTCTCCTAATTTGAGACCGCCTTTCGAAACGGTATGAATTTATTATATCGCCGACGCGAAATATATCGGAGATAATTGATGAGTCGAATAGAGAGGATGTTTTCGTAAAGTAAGTAAGAGGGGATCGCTCGAGGCTCTCGATGAATCTCTCTCTCCCTTCAGATTTCGCGGACACTTTCTTCTCGGAGCATCTAAGCGTGCTCTCGAATCCAAAATAATGTCACGCAAATGCGAGCGACGGGAAATACGATCGTTCCTCTACGCGATTCAGAGAGGATTCCGTCGTCTACAATAACATCGGATCTCCTCCACGTGAATTTATGCTCGTCTCGGGAAGAGTTTCATAAAGCTCGGCGGATTAATCGGGGAAAGTTCGGTGAATATATATACATCCCATTTGACCATTCATTCTCTTTCTCTCCTGTATCTCTGCCACTCTTCAACCCTCTTGGTTTCCTCCTCCCTATCTTTTCCTCTGCTCTCTCTTTCTCTCTTTCTCTCTCTCTCTCTCTCTCTTTCTTTCTTTCTCTTTCTCTTTCGCTCATTCTAGGATTCAGCCGACGAATTTCCGCATTGCATTCGTTATAGCATTCGCAACACAGTTTTACGACTTTAAAATCTCCTCTCTCTTTATCTCTTTTTCTCCTCCTATCCTTCCCTCCCCTTGATAATACCTAAACAGCCGTCGTGTCTCCACCTCTCGTTTGAGTTTCGCTCGTTTGAGTTCAGTTTATTTAGCACGCTTTACGATGCAACGTTAGATATCTCGCTCTCTTCTATATGCGTACGTATGTGTGTGTGTGTGTCTGTGTGTGTATGCGTGTGCGCGCGCGCATATGTTATGCGGGCATACGTATGCCGCTTGCCCATTCTCTTAACAACGTCCAGCGAGCGAACACTGGACGCTCCACTAACAACGCTTCCGGTTTTACGAGCACGACCAGCCGCGCTCGGACCTCCCCGGACCAATACATCCACGGGAGACATCCTCTCCGCTCGACTGAGGTCGCCGGGCAATCTCGGTTCGTCTGTATCTTTGAACAGTTCGAGGAACATAATATTCACCGGCCGTCCGTTTGTCTTGAAATGTATTTCGAATTTCTAGCATATATGCATAGGACACACCTACTTCCAATACGGGAAACAATACGAGCATTGCTAAAGTTTGTCTCTATTAAAATTCAATCGCGTTTCTCTGGATAGAGTAATATCCCCAAAAAGTTAAAAAAATTCAAGTTTATTTGTCATTTTCGAGCGGTTGCGTTTTTATAAAGTTACAAAATTACAGTACTTTTTTTTATTTGCTACTTCTTTGGAAGAGAATAAAATATACATACTCGATAAATATTTCTAATAAATGACAATGAAAAAGATTATTATTAAAAAAGAACGTTTAATATAAAAATATTATATAATGCGTGTCTACTCTTATTATGTATACATATCTCTGGACGCTTAAACGCGATAGAACATAAAAAAAAATGTCTAGAAGCTATATTATCGGCGGATATTGAAGCCCGACAACTGTCTGTCATTGACGCTTGTTCAAGAGCTTTTTGCTAAGCTCCTTAACTTCTCAACCGATCAACGAAAAAATCGATGCGCTTTAATTCGGTTGCCCGGGTTGCCCCCATCACTGTCGATAATCTTATTTAATTAACTAACGGGCGATCGACAAGATTCTCTCTTGACAATTTCCGGTCAGCTCCAGGACTCGAATCCTCGTCGTCGTTATAGCGTGTCATCCATCCTCCTCCCGGATTCTCTCTTTCTCTTCTCCGCGAAAATCCGGAGCGAAAGAGGCTTTCGGTCGCTACGGAGGAGGCTCCGGTACGGCCCGGGAAGGTATACCCGATCGATAGAACGCACCGGAGTTCTGTGAGATAACGAGGGAAGGCCACCAAGCATCGATCAACCAACCGGGGCCCCCCTTTCGAACGCGGTTCCATCGGCATCTTATCCGCTCGTCCTATACACCTACCCCGAGTCAATCGTTCATTCCTGCCGCACCGCTGGCTGCATTCCGAGATGCACACGTAAAGCCTCTCCCAAGATAGGATGAGCGCGATCGCTACGACCGAAGTGCAACGATTGATCGGGAGAATAGGTCTCACGTTCGCGGCTCTCAACCCTCGAGATTGTAATTAATAGGTCGAATATAATAATTCGGAGGAAGCCGGATAATGGCTTTGTAAATCATGAATCTTCTCTGTGCAATGTGTGCTTTCTCGTTGCAAATTTTGCTCTCAAGATTTATCAAGAGAGGATTTTCGCAATGATTGCTACGTCTCGTCGCAAACGCGTTTATCTTTCTCGAGTCGCATAAGAATCGAATAAGGAAGGCCAATCTGGTTTTCTCGAATAAGATAAAGCTACTATTCGAAAAGTGCATGCAGCACAACGAGCAATTTGGCATCGCTTGTCGCTTGGATTTTCAGGTAACAGTTTACACAATACAGGCAACGATTTCCGCAGATACTTTCCATTGTCGAAGTATCTGTTACATCTCTTCGATGTTAAATATATTTTTGAGAAACTTCCGTGTGTTTCCTCTCCGAGGCGAAGAAAGGTAGAAACGACGTCGCACTATAACGGATTCTGTCTGTAAAAAAAGAAGTCTCCACGCGAGGCCATTTTTCATCTTCTCAGGTGAACCAGCTGCGCGACGTCGTTCGCTATTTTCCATTTTCCTCGAGTCCCGCGACGTGAAATTCTGCTATTTTTCACCTTGTTTCCGGAACTCCTCCTACGATCGATAAAAATTTTCGCGATAATAAATTCACGCTCGTCGCGCTGAGATTCATTGAATTAATCCTCAAGATTGAAATAACAGTTCTTATGTGAATTCGCCACTTCAATAAATAATTTTCTTGTTAACAAATTTTATTTTTGCTTCGATTTTATTTTATTTTCACGCATCATGGTTTTCCGAACGATTTGAAGTTAAAATCAATTTTTTTCTTTTTTTTTTTTCGTGAATAATGATGGAAAAAATTCGCACGGCGGTTCATCATGAACCGATATTATCCTCGACGATGAAGAGGTCATGAAGATTCTTCTTCTTCATCTTGAGAATTATTTCTCAATCAAAAGCTTTCGAATGTTTCCCCTGTAATTAGCCAGTGCGAAATGGTTCCCGTTGCCGCATTATCGCGCGTTTTGATCAAAACGAGAAAGGGTTATTTTCCGTGTTATTTTATTTTTGCACTCCATCGAGGTCTTTAATAAGCAAACTATTCAACCGCGATATTTTCACCCGACCTATCTTTGTCCCGCGACAGTCGCGTCTGTTCGATGTCATCGTTGTCGTCGTTGTCGTCGCCGCCGTCATCTTTGTCCGCTTTTCTTGTCCTTCCCTCGCCACCTGAGACCTTTCTCACTCTCGACACGAACACTGAGATCTCGAGAAAAATTTCGCGAGACACGTTGCACGTTTACGCCGATGCTCGACGCACCGGTTGCGCGAAAGTTGTTGGACATACTTTTCCACTCCACGAAAAAGTCACTCCGTTGGCCGACATTCGATGTCGGGCATTAATTTTCTCTCTCTCTCTCTCTCTTTCTTTCTCTCTCTCTCTCTCTCTCCTGCTACGTGATTATCTTCTCTAGCTTTCTCTCTCTTTCTCTCACTCTCTATACACACCCATCTCACTGTCAGTCTGATCTTTCTCTCTTTTTCTCTTTCTTTCTTCCTCT